ATATAAATCACAAAGATGGTCAACAAATTTAAGTCTTAGATCTATTGTCTGGCAAATGTCACGACCGCAACCACCGGTCCCGAAGTGGTGGTCACCCGGAGTTCATTGCCGTTAAACTCGCGCACAATCTTTACCTCCTTTTCCCCTTTGATTACTTCAATGAGTCGATTGCCGTCTGCCGTCACCACTGACTTAATGTATGAAAATAAAATATTTTTTATAATTAATTATTGAATATAAAATAACTATTAAGTTTGATTAGTAACCATACCTTAACTACCGGTCCCCCAAACCGGGCCCCCTCAAACTCCTTGCCCAACTCGAACTTAGTCTCCCGGGTATTGTTAGGACTGATGTTTTTAATGGTGTAAACACTGCCGTCTTTGGTGATCTCCACCTCCGATGTCGACGATTTCACACGACTGACCACTTCATCCGAAAATCCTTTTAAAATAAATTTCATGTTTTTATATTCACTTTATTTAAGGATATGTGTTGGCAAACTAACCGAGCTCTTTGAGAAGGGCGTCGAAGTTTTCCGATGAGGTCTGTTTGAATTTACCCGTGAAGTCAGTCATTATTGATGTGTTTAACAGCAAATTAAAAGTTTGTTTAAAACCTTTAGTTTAACTACAATTTTATGTATTTTACAGCCCCTTATATACCATACCTTAATGTAAACTATGGTTGTTATCTCAATAAACATTAGTTTTTTTGATAAAAATTTTAACTTGTGTTATTCAATAGGTTTTATTATTAGAATAATATATAATAATTAAATTCTTAAAAACATAAGACTGTGTGATAATGATAGCAATTTATAGTTATGCACTTATTTTATGAAATTAGTTTCCAATATCAATTTGTACTGTATGATAACATTACAGTACTGCATACAAAATATTTTATATATCATTTGAAAAATCAATTTTTTATAAAACTAAATCTAAATTATATGAAAGTCAACTATTTCAAAGTATAATATACATATTATGATATTGGCTAATAATGATAATTATTAGAAATATTTAAATAATATATATAATTCTATATAATTCTTAGTCTTTATTTTTAGCACAAATAAAAGTTTTTATTAAATTCCTATGGGTTGTAAAATTTACAAAATTTCGATAGCATACTTAATAATTTATTTAATAAAAATTTTTTAAACAAATTTAATCAATTATAACTTGAATCTATTGTCGGGCATATGTGATGACCCCAACCACGGGCCCTACAGTGGTGGACACCCGGAGTTGATTACCATTGAGTTCGCGCACAATCTTTATCTCCTTTTCCCCCTTAATAGTCTCAATGAGTTTATTGCCGTCCGCCACCACCACCGACTGTAATCATGTTAGTCATACAGTTAATCATAATTAATGGGAACAAATATCTTTATTAATATTTCAAATAGTTACATTAATCAGAAAAGTACTATAAATTGGTGTACCTTAACTACCGGTCCCCCAAACCGGGGTCCCTCAAACTCCTTTCCCAACTCGAACTTAGTCTCACGGGTTCTGTCGGGTGTAATCATTTTGACGGTGTATTCACTGCCAGCTTTGGTGACCTCCAGTTCCGAAATCGACGATTTTAGGCGATCTACAACCTCTTGAGGCGCCCCTATAGACACCAGTAGTTTATGAATTAACAGTCACTTCCTAATAATCATATATGAGGGACACTAACCAATCTCTTTGAACAGCGCCTCCAGATTTTCAGCCGAAGTCTGTTTGTATTTTCCCGTGAAGTCAGTCATTGTTGAGATGAGTTGTCTTTAGCCACGAATGAAATGATTTTTGTATAAAGTCTTAAATAAAATATTTTGCCGTAACTTATATATATAGTACTTAAATTCAATGTTACCTATTATCTATTTCTTATAAAATAAAGCATTGCATTGATAAAATTCAAATTAATGTTTTACAGTAGATTTTATTTATTAGATTCAATTAAATTATTATATAGTTTTTATAATTACTACTTTCACAATCATAATAACTATAATAACTATCCTTATATAGACACACTTTAAGTGCATTAAGTTGAATTAGTAAACCAAATGTTTTACAATATAACTCCACAATTAAGAAATTGGTCTTGCCAATTAATTAACATATATAGTATTTTAAACTTAATTTTGCACTAAAAATTGTGTCCTTAATTGCACTAAATTCCTTGTCATCATTAATTATATTTTACAGAAATACAAATAATCTTTTGAGACATATAAATATTGTTGGCTACTGTTATATTTATATAAAGTATTTATAAATACAATGTTTGTTTTGTATTCACAAATTAATTAGTTGTATTTGTGATTACAATTTTGTTAGTCTCAAAATGACGTACA